GAGAGCTTCAGTTCAATCGCTACAGAAGAGTAGTAGCCGGTTTACAACCACCCATAAAAGCATACAAGTTCAAAAGTAGGGTCAATTACTTCAAGTTCATGGAGCATTGGTACGAATAAGAACACACTCGTCTAACCTATGTCCAGCGATTCACCTTCTCAAGTAGTCACAGTGTTCAAGTCCACATATAAGTCATGTACGAATCAAACTACTTACTCATGCGTAAAAGAGATACCATAAATTCAGTCAAGTCAGGTCCATTAAATGTACGTAAGAGCACACTCGCCTAAACAAGTTCAAGTCTCAAGTGAACTCAATCTAATTGGTCTCAGGCAGTTCAAAGTCAGTCTCAAGTAGTTCAAATATTTCAAATCTCATCACTTATAAATTGGATCGTGCAAACCTTAATCAAATAAGAAGACTAGAAGAAAGATGCAAAAATCAGAAGTTTTCTTAACAAATTCGAACAGCACCATAATCTATCAAAACCCTAGCCAAAATCTTATTGGACACGTCCAGGATAATATTCATCATTCTAATCTCCTCATTCATTTAAGTCTCGAGTCCAATACAAAATCCGTTATATTCGAAACTGTGCCATTACAACTTATCTCAAAGTCACTTATGATTTCTATTCACATCATCATACACTAGACTATGTTCCTTCTAAACTCACAAACATTTTTTTAGAAAAAGTGTCGAGTACTCAAGTCAAGAATCTCAAAACTAAGAAATTGTACAACTCCGGCCGTACATTAGTACCAGAATCGATTGATGTACGCTTGAGAGCAACAAGGTCATATCTTATACTTACCACTTTCAAACCAGTCCCACAGTCCGGCATCCTAAACTTTAACTTAGAATACACTGTAGAGATCTGAAACCTAAACTCTGATACCAATTGTGACAGCCCCACCTCCCCCTAAATCGAACCAAAGGGTTCGACGGACCGCCTACCCAACTCTTGCTGAGACTCATTCACTCACTACAGTTCTCAATTAAATTACAAATACACATCTCAAATATTACATCACATACTCCACAAATTTACATATCATAACGAAGCAAATACTAATTCCCTGAATAAGAAACAAGTTCTCAGTTCTCAAACAAATTACACTTACAATATTAATCTCAAATATTACACAAGATAAAACTAAAACAAACTGTACATGAGATAATCCATCCAGTCATACTAATAACTCATTACACGCATATCTTTTGCCTCGAGCCCTGTGGAGGGGAAAAATATATTTTTAGGTGAGTTAGAAGTTCAGCGAGTGACCAGTAAAATCAGTAATCAACCAGTTTCACAATAATGCATTTAAATGATATCATGAATCAGTGATCAAATGTATGTAGGTTGCTCTTGTAAGCCAGTGAAATTATCGTACTTAGAACCCCAACGCTCAAATAGATCCTGTTGAGTTTGATCCCTATCTTTTGATGTTTACAAAACAAATGGATGATACTAATATTTCTTCAAGATATATTTTCAGTTATGAAATTATTTGATTCCATGAACAAGTGCAATTGGAAAAAGACAAAGCATGCTGAAGCTGTCGGACGCTCAAAAAGACTGCATCGGACGTCCGACAACCATTGAGTATCTTCGGACGCAGAAAACCAGCCTATCGGACGTCCTAAGGAATTGAAGAAAAATTCTCAGTTTTACATCATACCTTCGGACGCAGAAAACCAGCCTATCGGACGTCCGAAAGAATTGAAGAAAATTTCTCAAACTCACTGCCTGCTGTCGGACGCATAAAACAGTGCTATCGGACGTCCGACACTACCAACGGCTAGTTGACTGTTCAGCTACTTTCTATCCGTTGGAAGCTTTAATGAGGCTCTTTCTTGGTCCTATATAAATAGTGGTTGGTCAGATACTTCAAACAACTTTGGCACACTGAAGATACAAAAGATCTAGAGAGATTTTAGTGAGAAAATACTCCAAAAAGAATATTTGTAGTCTTAGTGGTGTGAGGTTCATTGTAAGCTTTTCATTTGTGAGTGAATCTTTCATGAGTGTAGCTCTGTGAGGGTTGTCCTGAGGGATAGTAAAACGTCCTGGCTTGACCGAGTGCTGCTTGGGGCAAGGAGGAGGTGAACCTTCCTTTGTACACAAGAGTGATTGTAATTCATCAACTTGAAGTAGCTTGTTTCAATTAATCTACAAGCTCAAGAGGAGTTGGGTAGTTAATTGGTTTGCAATCCTTTCCTTTTTATTTACTTATTGTTTCGTTTATGATCTTTGCATTGGTTGTTTTTGGGCCTTACAATTGGTATCAGAGCCAGGTTTCCTAGAGATTAAGCTCAATCGGCTTTGGAGTAAAGATGACAACCAATAATGCTATGTTTTTTGAAGGACATTCTGTTATTAGACCACCTGTGTTTAATGGGTCAAATTATATGAGTTGGAAAGAAAGAATGATTATCTTTTTGCAATCTATTGATATCGAATTGTGGTTTATTATTAGTGAAGGTCCATATGATGTCTCTCTTATAGATGAAAATACTCATGCATCTAGACCGAAAACAAGGAGTGAACTGACTGCTGTGGTAAGGGTTTATTTTACGTATTTTTAAGTGCATCTTATTAGTTGAATTTGGTTTGATTATTTAGTTTTGTAACTAAAATAAATAGGTTTTGGTAAAAATATACATTATTTGGTAAAAGTGGCTATTATTGCATTTCTATTGATTTTAGTAATAAAAACTTCATTTTAATGCAGGTTTAATGATTCAATCACCAAAGGATGTCAAGTGAGGTGAAAAATAGATAATTGGTGATGAATTCAAGTGGCTAAAAGAGAAATGAAGTGAAAACGTTCAAAGTGAGGAAATGCAATTCAAGACAATTTTAACACTTTTCGACATTTCGACTATATCTAGAGCTACACTTGGAATTGAAGTGATCTTTATACCATTTTAAAGCTAAGAAAGAGACCTACAATTGTTATGAAGACATCGAAATCCAATTCTGCTGTTTTCATGGACAAAAAGTCGAAATACAGAAGCTGCATTCTGTGGTAAAAAATTGAAACAGGGGTTTGACCAAGTGATAGTATTTCAATCATATCTCAAGTTACAAATCTCCAATTTGGATGATTCTTAAACATTGGAAAGCTAACTCAAAGAGCTACAACTTTTATGTTTTTCACAAAAGCTAATTCGGCCTTCACCAAAGAGAAAATCGCAGTTGAATCAAGGCCAAGTTGAAAACACAAGTTGACAAAACGTGAGTTGATGCCGCGTTTTGTATAGTCGCGTTTTGTAGCCGAAAATTTACAATTTGCTCAGCTATTTCTCTTGAGCAGTTTTTATGCAGAGACATTGGGAGAGGTCTGATTTCCATACGTAGCTAGTTTTTCTTCTTGTAACTCGTTTCTCTCTAGTTAGGAGTTCTTTGAAAAGCATTTGGAGTTTTCACTTGTAATCATCTTGTACAAGAACATAGCAGAAATTGGAGGGCTTCACCATCAATTGGCTAAGTTTTCTTTTATCTTTCTTGTACTTGTACTTTATGATGTTTTGCATTAATAAACTTGTGAGTTTGATTGTTAAATCATTCATGAGTAGCTAATTTTCTTTATCTAGGGAGTAGATGAAACTTATGGCTAAATAGTATGAATTGAATGTGATTTACACTTGTTATATCTTGTATTAACTTGTCTATTTGTACAGTTGAGATTACTTGTTATTGATTGATCACCAATAACATGTTTATAGTTGTTATTGTTCAATGAGAATTGATAGTAACAATGAAAAAACATGAGTAGAGCTTGAATTGTATATTCATGAAAATAGATGTACACTTAAGTGGGTTTTCCAGTATTTCATGAAGGAAAACAGAGTAAAACTAGTATTTCACCATGAAAATAGGGAAAACTATATTGTTTTAGGGCATTTCATCATGAGAATGAGAATTGGTAATATTGGAAATGAATCCCTGGTTAAATAAGAAAAATAACAAGAGGTAAATCTAGTCATTTGTGTTGTTTATGCCATAAGTGAAATCTACATCCCTAGATTCAATCTTTAGTGAAATTTCTTCATTTGCATTTAATATTGATTAAACCAGATTTGTAGACAATAGCATTATAATTTTCTTACTCAGATTTATTATAAGTCTAAATAATAGAGAAAAATAAGGGTCTAGTACTTGTTTAATTTGCTCTTTGTGGGATCGACCCGATACATACCCTACATTACGATTTCGGCCTGTACACTTGCAGTCAACGGGTATTAAATCGGATTTAAACTTGCATTGATATAAAAATTCCGTCAAGTTTTTAGCTTCGTTGCCGGGGAGTGGTAATATTAGAGCCTAATCATCTCTATTAATTTAGACATCTGTATTTTTAGTTGAACTATCTATAGTTAGCTCAACATTTTAATCAATTTTTGACAAATAAAAGTTGCATAAATTTTCTTGTTTCTGTTTGTAGTGTATGCATCGGACATCTCGAGAAGTAGCACATTTCGATCTAGAAATTAAAAGGACGTTACGCAAACAAAGGAGGGATACACCACAGCAAGAGGAACAAAAGGTTTGGCAACCAATATAGCAAATTTTAATAGAGCTACCATTTGAACAAGAAATGGCGAAAAATGAACCAAATAGGTTAAATTCTACGAGATTTTGCTTTACCATGAACACAAGATTTTCAAACTAGCATTTCAAGGCCAACGATAAATGCTAATAATTTTGAGATTAAACCATTACTAATTCAAATGGCACAACAATCTCAATATGGAGGTAATGCTATCGAAGATCCAAATTCTCACTTGTCAACATTTCTTGAAATTTGTGATACAATTAAGTTGAATGGCGTTAGTGATGATGCAATTAAATTTCGATTGTTTCCATTCTCACTAAGGGACAAAGCTAAGGTTTGGCTACAATCTCATCCTCCAAATACTTTTACTATTTGGGCTGAATTAGCTAAGGCGTTTTTCAATAAATTTTTTTCACTTGAAAAAACTGCTAACTTAGAATGGATATAACTAGTTTTTCTCAACAGGAAGGAGAGACATTGTATGAATTTTGGGAGCGCTATCGGGAATTGCAACGAAGATGTCCTCATCATGGTTTACCAGATTGGCTAGTAGTCCAAACATTTTACAATGGTTTCACCTATCCAACAAAGACGCATGTAGATGCGGCAGCGGGAGGAGCATTGATGGGAAAGACAGCTGAGGAAGCTCAACAACTAATTGAAGAAATGGCTGCTAACTATCACCAATGGGCCAACGAAAGAGATAATACAAGGAGAACCGCAAGTATGCTTGAAGTAGATACCTTGAATATGTTAAGTGCAAAAATGAATAATGTGGTTAAAATACTTAATAGGCACGTTGGTTCTACCTCTAATTAAGGAGTAGTTGTTGCATGTTGTACTACTTGTGGTGGAGATCATGATGATTCTATATGTTCTAGCAGCGAACAGGTTCAATGCCTCAACAATTACAACCGTCCACCCCAAAACAATCCATACTCTAATACCTACAATTCAAGATGGAGTAATCACCCGAATTTTGGATGGAAGGATCAAGGGAACCAACAAAGACCAGTTAATCCACCGGATTTTCAATCAAAACAACCACTTCCGGAGTCCAAACCAGTTTGGAAATTGGCAATTGAAAAGCTGACAAATGTATCAAATGATAAAATTGAAAAGTTAGCCAGTGCCACTACTCAACGGTTTGAAAGAATTAAAGGAAGAATGGACAAACTCACCAATATGTACAGGAATGTTGAAATCCAATTAGGGCAAATAGCAAATGCGGTAAACAATCGCAACCAAGGGGATTTACCTAGCAAGACTGAGGTGAACCCAAGAGAGCTTGTGATGGCTATAAACCTCCGTTGTGGTAAGGAAGTAGGTGAACTGCCGGTAATTGAATATGAAAGAAGAGAAAACAAGCAGTTGAGTGAGTTAGGAGAGGACGGCCAGGAAATCATAGGGAAAGAAAAGATGGAGGAAAATGAACCACAAATGGGAAATACAACACCAATTCCTCCACCGGTGTCATTCCCTCAAAGATTGAAACCTTCGAAAAATGACAAAGAATTTGAGAAGTTTGTCAATATTTTCAAATAATTACATATTAATATTCCCTTTGTTGATGCTATTTTGCAGATTCCTTCATACGCAAAGTTTCTCAAGGAGATAATGACTAAAAAAAGAAAGTTAGTAGATAGCGAGACAATTGCATTAACAGAAGAATGTAGTGCCATCCTACAAAACAAATTGCCACCCAAGTTGAAAGATCCAGGGAATTTAACAGTTCCTTGTACTATTGGTAATGTAGAATTCTCTAAAGCACTTTGTGACCTTGGTGCGAGTGTGTCATTGATCCCTTTAACTGTGGCTAGATAATTGGGGTTGAAAGAGTTAAAGCGTACTAACATTTCCTTGCAATTAGCTGACAGGTCTATTAGACATCCAATGGGCATATTGGAGAATGTGCTCATTTAAGTGCAGAAATTCATTATTCTTGTTGATTTTATTGTTTTAGATATGGAAAAAGATGTCAATGTACCTATTATACTTGGTAGACCATTTCTGGCCACCGCAGGTACAATAATAGATGTTAAATGTGGTAAGTTCAAGTTCCAAATTGGTAAAGAGGAAATGGAGTTTAATCTAAGTAAAGTGGAGAAATATCCCTCTTTTATTGACCATGTTTATTCTGTTGACATATGTGATGAATTGGCATTAGAGATGAGTCAAGTTAATCTTGATGATGATTCACTTGAACTTTGTCTTAATGTATAGGTTTACAAGAGGAACAAGTTAAAAAAATGACTGAATTTTTGCAGGCACAGGTTTCCTATAAAAGGAGAAATGCCTATGAGGAGTTAGGACTGAGCAAAGGATTACCTCTACTATCGTGTGAGCAAGCTCCACGGCTTGAGTTTAAGCCGCTACCTAAACACATCAATATGCATTTTTTGGGGAAAAAGAGACATTATCGGTGATTGTAAATTCTGCATTAGATGAGGAACAACTAGGGAAGCTCTTACGTGTCTTGAGAAAGCATTTAAGGACAATAGGATGGACAATTTCTGATATCAAAGAAATTAGTCCAACTATTTGTATGCACAGGATTTTGTTGGAAGAAAACTCTAAACCGATGGTTGAGACTCAAAGAAGATTAAATCTAAATATGAAAGAAGTGGTAAGAGTAGAGATTCTTAAATGACTAGATGCAGGTATAATTTTTTCAATTTTTGATAGTGTTTAGATTTCTCCTATTCATGTAGTGCCGAAGAAGGGGGGATAACCATAGTACGTGGTAACAATGATGAAATGATTCCATTTAGAGTTGTAGTTGAGTGGCGAATTTGTATAGATTATAGAAAACTGAATACAGCCACTAAAAATGATCATTTTCCTCTTCCTTTTCTTGATCAAATGGTAGAAAGATTGGCCGGATATGAATTTTATTGTTTCTTGGATGATTTTTCAGGATACAATCAAATAGTCATTGCATTGGAAGATCAAGAGAAAATCACATTCACTTGTTCTTACGGCATTTTTGCATTTCGAAGAATACCCTTTGAACTGTGCAATGCACCAGCCACCTTCCAACGATGCATGATGGTAATTTTCTCTGATTTTAATGAGAAAATTATGAAAATCTTCATGGATGATTTTTCTGTATTTGGATCTACATATGATGATTATTTTAATAATTTAGATCTAATTTTGCAGAGATGTGAAGAAACAACCTTGTACTCAATTGGAAAAAAATGTCACTTCATGATTTGTGAGGGTATTGTGTTAGGTCACAAAATTTTTTCAAAAGGTATTAAGATAGATCAAACCAAGATAGAGGTTATTGAGAGATTGGCTCCACCTATCAATGTGAAAGGCATTCGCAGCTTTCTTGAACACGTGGGATTTTATCGGCGATTTATTAAGGATTTCTTCAAGATTGCTAAATTTTTATGTGAATTACTTGCAAAAGATGTTCCTTTTCACTTTAATGATGAGTGTTTATTTGCTTTTAATAGGTTGAAGAAGGAACTTGTTTCTGCACCCATAATAGCATCACCAGACTGGATCTTACCATTCGAATTGATGTGTGATGCAAGTGATTTTGCAATTGAAGCTGTTCTTGGGCAAAAACATGATAAGCGACTTCATGTCATTTATTATGCAAGTAAAATATTAAATGAATCCCAAGTTAACTATGCAACAACAGAGAAAGAGTTGCTAGCAGTGATATTTGCATTGGATAAGTTTAGATCGTACTTAGTAGGATCTAAAGTTATCATTTATACCGACCATGTAGCACTCAAATATTTGTTAAATAAGAAAGATGCAAAACCTCGACTAATTCGATGGATTTTATTATTGCAGGAATTTGATTTGGAGATCAAAGATAAAAAAGGATCCGAGAATTTAGTTGCTAATCATATTTCTAGATTGAAAAACATGCCTCAAGAAGACCATTCCTCCATTAAAGAAGAATTTTCAAATGAGTTTTTAATGGCAATTTATAAGTCACCATGGTATGCTGATCTAGTTAACTTTGTAGTTAGTGGAGTGATACCAAGTGGTTTGAATTCTCACCAAAGGAAAAAGTTCTTAAATGATGCTAAACATTATTTTTGGGAGGAACCGTTCTTTTACAAACATTGTGCAGATGGAATAATTAGAAGATGTGTTCTGGAAGAAGAGGTATATTGTATTCTAATGCATTGTCATACTCTTGAAGCGGGAGGTCATTTTAGTACAACTAAAACTGTAGCAAAGATATGACAATCTGGATTTTATTGACCTACTATGTACCGAGACACTAGAAATTGAGTTAAAAGTTGTGATCAATGCCAAAGAATCAGTAATATCTCAAGAAGAATGAAATACCTTTGACTACATATTTGGAAGTTGAGTTATTTGACGTTTGGGGCATTAATTTTGTGGGACCATTTCCTAACTTATATAATAATAACTACATCCTATTAGCAGTCGATTATGTCTCTAAATGGGTGGAGGCCATTCCTTCACAAACTAATGATGCTAAAGTTGTACTTAAGTTTCTTAAACAGAACATATTTTGTAGGTTTGGAGTCCCAAAGGCAATAATAAGCGATGAAGGTAAGCATTTTTGTAATAAAATTATTGACACTTTGTTGCTTAAATATGGATGCAGGCATAAAAAGTCACTTTCCTATCACCCTCAAGCCAATGGCCAAGTGGAGTTGGCCAATCGAGAAATAAAAATCATTTTGGAGAAAACTGTCAATCGATCGAGAAAGGATTGGTCAAACAAGTTTGAAAATGCTTTGTGGGCATGTAGAACGACATTTAAAATGCCGTTGGGAATGTCTCCATATAAGTTTGTTTATGAAAAAGCGTGTCATTTACCTATAGAAATAGAACATAGAGCTTATTGGGCTATTAAGGCTATTAATTTTAATTTTAAATCTGCAGGTGAAAAGAGAATGTTCGAGTTAAGCGAATTGGAGGAATCGCGGTTAACATCATATGAGAATGCCAGAATTTATAAAGAAAAAGTGAAAATTTGGCATGATAAACACATTCTCCTTAAGCATTTTGAAGAAGGGCAAAAGGTGTTATTGTTTAACTCAAGACTTAAATTATTCCCTGAAAAGCTTAAATCTCGATGGTCCGGACCATTTGAAGTGGTTCGCATGTTTCCTTATAGAGCAGTGGAAATAAAAGGAGAAAATGGTGCCCCATTCAAAGTAAATAGTTAAAGATTGAAACCCTATTTGGCCGGAGAAAAGGTTCCTAAAGGGGTAATTTACTCCCTAGGAAACGCAATACAGAGTTAAAGAAGCTATAGGAGAGTCGAGCCAACGACTTTAAACAAAAGCGCTAATTGGGAGGCAACCCAATGTTTAAGTTATATGTGTTAATTTGTAGTGATTTTGTGTTTAATATATGTATTTTAGTTAATTTGTTATTTTTGTGTTATAGGATTGACATATGGAAGCAAAGATGACCATTTGAGGTGAAAAAGGTGAACTTTGATCAAACAACTCAAGCCCTTAATTTGCGTTACAGGTGTATTTGATCCTTTGAAAAGGAGTAAAATGCATGTTTTTAATGTTTTACATGTGTGCACATCGATAAATTTGACAAACAAATGATTTATGATGCATTTTGAGTGATTGGGGTACATGGTAATTTTTTAAAGTTGAATTTCTGCAAAAATTTTGCAGAAAAAACGTACCTGGGCTGAAAACGCGCCTTAGAGTCGCGTTTTCAGTAGGCGCGTTTTCAATTCTGCACCTACACTGAAGAAAATGGGATTTAAAACACGACAGAAAGTCGTGTTTTCAGGTCAATCGTGTTTGCAAGCCTGATCAAAAGTCAAAAACGCGACTCAGTCGCGTTTTCCAACATAGTCGCGTTTTCATTGCTACAAGATTTCTGAATGAAACGTGACTTCAAAAACGCGAGTTGAAGACGCGTTTTGAGTCGCGTTTTCTGTGTCCGAATAAGAGCTTCAGAAACGCGATTTCAGCTTCATTTTTCTTCCTCTTTGCCCAACTTCAGTCGCATTTTCTCTGCTCTCTTCTACCCAACTCATAAATCTTCAATTTTATTCCATAATCTTGCTAGAAAACATCAACCCAGCACCTTTTGAGCATCAAACAACCTTTTTAACCGATTAAAATTCAAGAAAAACACCTTAAATTCGATTTTTAAGAAATTGAAAGCTAGGGTTTGTGAATTCTAATTTCTTCAATTAGAGTTCAATTGGAGGTTGTTTCATAGGACTTTTCACATTTTTAGCATCACCAAACATTCTTCTACGAGATTGAAGTAAGTTTCTTCATCAAATCTTTTGATTTTAGAAGTTCATATTTTTTATCCTTAGCTTTCTTACATCTTTTAATTTTGAAAATTTGATGATGTATATGACTATTTTTGAAGTTATTCATGCTTATTAAGATTGTTTAAGCATGTTTAAATGTTTAAATGTAGTAATTTGTTGGTCATTATCGCTTTAAAATTCACAATTGCTATATTTGGAGGAAATTGAAAAATAGATTTAGGATGTTTTTGAGCTAATGGTGACTATTAATTATGGTTAAAAATGGTTAGTTGATGATGTTTTAGCATGTACATTATGTATAGTGAACAATTTGGTTGCATTTGTGAGTTAATTAGTTTAATTTTTGCCTAACCATGATTATAGCTAATTGCACATTATTATTATTAATTATAGAATGCTATAATCATGATTGATACTACTTTCACTGATTGAATTATAATTGATACATATCTTGTTTAAGTTGGTGATTTTGGGCAATTTTTATCAGAAAATATGTTTCTTTTTGTATGATCATTGAATGATTAGTACTTGAGGAATTGTATTTGAGGTTATTTGGATTAATTCTAGATTTTTGTTACCGAATAAGGATTCATGTCCTAATATGTTAACCTTGGTCCCAAACTTTTGATATTATAAAATAATGGATAATTCTAATATCTCTTCAAGAAATATTTTCAATTGTGAAACAAATCAGATTCAAAGATCAAGTGCAATTGAAAGGGACAAAGGCTGCTGAAAGCTGTCGGACGCTTGGATCGGACGTCCGATAATCATTGCGTAATTTCGGACGCATGAAGAACTCCACCACCGAACGTCCGAAGGAAATAAGACATTCCCCCTGGATCACTGACCTCGATCGAATGCAAACATCGGACATCCAATAGGATCCTTCAAAATCGACGAAACCATCGGACGCTGAATATGTCTTCACCAGACGTTCGATAGAAACAAGATAATTTCT